GGGGGGCCCCTAGGGCTCTTCCTCTAGTGACGAATTCCGGCTCGTTCACATACGTTTGGAACATCCTAGCCGGTGATTGATTGTAACAATTGTCAAAGTGAACAAAGACGAGCCGAATTCGACGGATTGAAATTTCGAAGCTAAACTAACGAGTAACCGATATCGAGTGGAGGATAGTACATCCCCCAAAAACACTTACGTGTAAAAAACTACGCCAAGTACAGGATTGCCTTCCACACCTAGATCTCTCTCTCTCTCTCTCTCTCTCTCTCTCTCTCTCTCTCTCTCTCTCTCTCTCTCTTCTACTTTACCTTTCTTCACGTTCTCTTTCTTATCTTGGCGGTATTGCCGTATTCGTGTCTCGTTCGTCTCCCCTATTGGGCGGTGTCGCCGGTTGTGAACCTGACTCTTTATGTTCTTGGCGGAGTCACCGTTTATTACCTTTTCTCTTTCTAGCTTGGCGGAGTCGCCGTTTATCGCTTTTTCTCTTTCTTATTTTGGCGGTGTCGCCGTTTATCGATCCTTCTGTTTTTTATCTTGGCGGAGTCGCCGTTCCTATCGTTTCACTCTTCTTCCCTTGGCGGTGTTGCCTTCCCGGTTTCCTTTTCCCTTTCGTTGTTCCCAGTTTTCCCGCGTCTTCCAAAGGAGTTCTAAGATCTCGAGTGCCCTGCACTCGCGGTGTTCTCCCCAGAGATCACCTGGCGCCCAACACTATTTAGTTTATCGCGTATCGGGTCTCGTTAATATCGAAAATCTGGTGAGAGAGAATCATTCGGCGTTTTACGTACGGTTCCCTATTTTCCGAATACTTCTGATCGTCTATCTAATTTAGCATTGAGATTTTATTTTGGGGAATAACGTCGCAGCATTTACATTTTATGTCTGTGAAAATATAGATTTCAGTGCTTAGAGCTTCTATGTCCCGTTGAACAACAAAAACTTGTGATATCCCCCAAAAAACACTTACGTGTAAAAAACTACGCCAAGTACAGGAGTGCTGTGTATTCCTCTAATAAAAAGTATTGATATCAGATTATTGAGGCGAAGTACGTAAGTCACTACATGTTTTCCTATCATATGATCTAGCACTGGCCCATCATTTTAATTGTATTTTCAAAATTCTTATAACGTTTTCACTACTCTTTTACATTACTACTGCTTCCCGTAGTTGATTATGATTTAATGGTCATTTAATAATTAATAAGACTTTAGGTGATTCCTTATCGATCACTACTTGGCGGGACCGTGCCAGGAATTCCAAAGTACTTACTCTGAACGTACTAATAGTATCCTAAAACTGTATGTTTGTTATTAAGCTTTTACCGTGATTATTTTTGACGAGTTATTGTGAATGAGCTGTATATAGAAAGTTGACATTGGTTTTGAGTTTGATGACTGGCATAATGAACGCGAATTTATGTCAAGAAATGCACGAATCCGCCAAGTAGTACTCGATAAGGAATCACCTAAAGTTTTATTAATTATTAAATGACCATTAAATCAAAATCAACCACGGAAAGCAGGAGTAATGTAAAAGAGTAGTGAAAACGTTATAAGAAATGTTGAAAATACAATTAAAATGATGGGCCAGTGCCAGATCATATAATAGGCAAACTTGTAGTGACTTATGTACTTGGCCTCCATAATCTGATATCAATACTTTTTATTAGAGGAATACACAGCACTCCTGTACTTGGCGTAGTTTTTTACACGTAAGTGTTTTTTGGGGGATATCACAAGTTTTTGTTGTTCAACGGGACATAGAAGCACTAAGCACTGAAATCTATATTTTCACAGATATAAAATGTAAATGCATTATGATGTCGCTAATCAGAAAAATATATTGCGTCGTCGAAAATGTTTAATGGCATATAAATATAATTTGTAAGTCCCTTTTTTTTAGAAATGCATAAAGATATATACAAATTTTTAAAGAAAATGTAATCTTCAGTGCATATAAGCGTCGTTAATGGTAATTACTGTACCATGCTAATGTAAATTATTATAAGTTGATATTATGACCATCAATATAAAAGTTATAACAATTTTAACAATTACTACCTTGATATAGTAGGTATAATATAGGTAGGTTTGCGCACGCAGTAAGCGTTGCGGTTACCTTGCGGTATAGTATAATAATTTGAATCAACGTTATTAGATATAATTATTTTACAACACATTCCTACTAATTATGATAATAATTGCAGGTATTTGGCTCGTTAAACCCGTCATATTTGTAACTTAAGAAAAATAAATAGGCTTTAGAACTATACAAATCGGTAAGTCAAACATTATGTTAACGCATAAAAGCGATATGGGGTAAAAATAATTGTAATTACTAATTAATATAGATACTTGAGTAGGTTTATAATTATTAAAACAAGTATTGAGAAGAATATTACAAGTATAGTTGGGTCATGTACAGGTATCGGTAGCTATACCCGTATGGTAAAGGCAACTATAATATTATTGCGTTTACTATAATTGTGTTTCTCATAACTATAAAATTTCAACTGTGATATTTCGTAATGATCACAACATTTTTTTTTCTCATTGTATAGTACTGCAAATATGGTTGTGTTAATTACATGCTGATAAATAGTGACTTTACGATATTCGTATTATAACACTGTACCACATGAAAAATGTCCTTTAGATGAAAATATGTGTTTCTTGTATATCTTTGTCTGAAAATAACGGATCTGTAATTATTTTTTGTTTACCACGATTGTTCTAAAAATCCACATTTTAGCCGGCATTCAAAAACAACTTACAGGCAAAGAAAGGCTCTCTCATTGACAATGAGACCGTCGTCAACTTGGCGACATTTTGGCGATCTTGGCGACATTTTTGTCGACAAAAGGCTTATCTATCTTCCCGAAGTTTAAAAGAATCATTGTAGTGTTTGTGTATTCTATAATCAAGCCTCTGTTACATTTCTCGCTAATCAATTTGTATAAATATGAGAAGTGGGTCTCCTACAAAAACGGTACGTGATGGACCATTTTGGTTTTGATATATGAATCAAGCACGTTTTGTTTATACAAAACATTGTATAATCACATTGTTTCGTATAAAGGACAAAAAAAGACGGGCTTCCTCACGTCGTCAACGATTACGCCGAATTTATCCTTCCACACTCCATATAAACGCGTTCAAATTGGTCAGTTTATTGTAACTTTAATACTGTGTTACGATTGCTAAATCCGGAAAATCAAGCAATCGTAAATGAAGTTTGTAATATAAAGGATGATTCGTTGGTTCGGTCTACTTTTACAGCACGTCCACGTGTTAATACAAGGCCTAACGAATTTTATGAATTGGAGTTGTGATAATTTCTCAAGATATGTCTCCGCGGATCTGGAAATATTCTATTTTTAAGTGATTCTTCGATAGGTAAATCTTTTGGTAAACTTGAAAATTCTATAGGAATCAATTTCCACGGTAAGTATTGAATAGAATTGTTTTGTTCGTTAACTTGATATTCTGTGGCGAAAAGATCCTTTTGGCTCATTGGTTCTGTTTGTTTTTGAGTATATGGTTTATTTAATTGTCTGAATATTTTACATAACTGAACTTTTCTACCACTTCGTTTAGGCATAAGTCTGTACTTACTCAGATTTTGTATAACATGTATATTTGGAATTCCCTCAGTATCCGATCGAATCTCAATTAAAACGTTCAGCGTGAATCAGTCCTATCCATGTCCTGATGATGTATGGAATGTTGATCGAAGTTTCGATTTGTATTAATGATTTGGTAGTATAAGGTAGAGGCCCTAGATCCCGCTTCAGTTCTACCTTTTTGGAAATAGTAAGGATGGATAGAGGCCCTATACAACGGCTTCAGTTCTATCCGGGAAGGTTACGAGTAATTGTGAATACTCTGATTTTGGTAACTTGGATAAGTTTTAGAGGTACTTGGTATATTTTGACTTCACTCACGACACACTCGACAACTCTCATGTTGCTCTCTTAATCTCTTTCTAAAAACACCCCCTAATGCTACTTCTGGCTCCCTTTTTATAGCAGTAAAACTACTTCTGATTGGTCAATGTGACTCCCCTTCTTCAAAATTCTTAATATATCGATTGATAGCTAATCCTTTTCCGATAATCAATATACCAAGTTGTACTCCGTTATTTGAATCTCCTTGAATGTCATCCGAGAAGATTCAGGCCTATCCGTTTATTTATCATTATTCAATATTAACAAGGTAAAATACAATATTTAATATTGTTAGTGTAACGTTAATAATATGTTACATTAATGATTATATGACTAAATGATTACAATGTGTAGAAGAAATTAATGTGTTTTGCCATTGATAGTTATAAGGAGTGGAACGTAACAACTGATTATCTCGAAATTTTGATATATGATGTAAAAAACCGAACAACACGTATTCAATAGAATTTAATAAGAAATGCAAAGATACTACTCCAATGTGTTTCTTATCGAATACCCTGTATATTTTTGAGTAATCAATGTATATTATAAAATAACAAATTAATTAATTCACAGCTGATATAATATTTATTACCGAAGATCGACCTCATGAAATATTCAAAAGGAATGGATCTGATTTATTGATGAATGTTAATATATTTTTACGCGAAGCACTTATTGGCACTGTTCTCACTGTCAACACAATTGATGAAAGAATACTTCGTGTGCCAATCACAAATATAATTACGTAAGATAAAGACAATAATAGTCTTGATATTCTAATATTCATAAATTTTTTTTTTAATTTTGTCGACCATTTTCCAACTTAACAATTTTAATTTGGGTAGAACAATAATAATTTTTTCTTTACAAATTGTATTTTGTGAAATTAATTTTATTCTTGCAGAGGAAACTACAAAAAAATCGTATCTAACGAAGGAATGCCTATGTCAGAAAATCCAAAAGAACGTGGATCGTTGTTAATAACTTTTTCCATTGAATTTCCAATTTACTTAACAATTGCAAGTAAAAAATATCTGCAAAAGGCATTCAAGACGTTAAAAGCTAATGGAGAAAGCGATAATCATAATTCTAAATTTAATTTGGAAAATATTAATCAACTAATTTTGAATGATAAAATTCATAGGGATATAAATGATGTTTAATTAGACAAAGATCCAAATGTCGACGTTGATCAACTTCAGTTAACTGTGTAATACAAAATTATTTAATTTTACACAAAATAATGTAGAATGTTTCTAAACATAGAATTTTTACTTTTTGTGAAATCAACAAACAGTTGTTGAACCAAAAATTAAAATGCGTTTTTCGGAAGTATAAAATATGACATTTATCATTGAAAAGAAGTATATCATTCTATTTTAGAACGCAGTATACAATAATCATAGCAATAAAATTGGTTGACAAATTAAGGGTTGAATATAAAAGTTTGTACAAGAATTTGTATGATATAAATATTTCAATCGAATGTGACTAGATGGCGAGTTTTGTTACACATATGAATTATAGTATAAATCGCATGGTTACGCTTACCGTGTTCACATAATAACTATACTTGTTATTACCATTATTTTTTTTAGACATCACACTAACTTTAAAGATATCTGTAAAATATAGTTACCGCAACTATATTTTATTCTTGATGTAGTTCATCTACGAGTTCATTGAGTTTTCTAACAATCACAAAAATTGCAATCCTTAGAAAAACACCATGGCTTTTTATAGCCTCGGAAATATATATCCTCCAAAAAACACTTACCTGTAAAAAACTACGCCAAGTACAGGACTGCTGTTTATTCCTCTAATAAAAAGTATTGATATCAGATTATTGAGGCCAAGTACATAAGTCACTATATGTTTGCCTATTATATGATCTAGCACTGGCCCATCATTTTAATTGTATTTTCAAAATTTGTTATAACGTTTTCACTGCTCTTTTACATTGCTACTGCTTCCCGTAGTTGATTATGATTTAATGGTTATTTAATAATCAATAAAACTTAAGCTGATTCCTTATCGAGTACTACTTGGCGGGTCCGTGCCAAGAATTCCAAAGTACTTACTTTGAACGTACCAATAGTATCCTAAAACTTATGTTTGTTATTAAGCTTTTACCGTGATTATTATTGACGAGTTATTGTTAATAAGCTCTATATAGAAAGTTGATATTGGTTTTGAGTTTAATGACTGGCATAATGAACGCAAATTTATATCAAGAAATGCACGGACCCGCCAAATAGTACTCGATAAGGAGTCAGCTAAAGTTTTATTAATTATTAAATACCCATTGTATCATAATCAACTACGGGAAGCAGTAGTAATGTAAAAGAAATGTGAAAACCTTATAACAAATGTTGGAAATACAATTAAAATGATGGGCCAGTGCTAGATCATATAATAGGCAAACATATAGTGACTTATGTACTTGGCCTCAATAATCTGATATCAATACTTTTTATTAGAGGAATACACAGCACTCCTGTACTTGGCGTAGTTTTTTACACGTAAGTGTTTTTTGGGGGATATCACAAGTTTTTGTTGTTCAACGGGACATAGAAGCTCTAAGTACTGAAATCTATATTTTCACAGATATAAAATGCAAATGCATTATGATGTCGCTAATCAGAAAAATATATTGCGTTGTCGAAAATGTTTAATGAAAAATTTTTCCAGAAATGCATTAAGATATATACAAATTTTTAAAGAAAATGTAATCTTCAATGCATATAAGCGTCGTTAATGGTGTCCAGCTTGTTGAAGCCGTTTGGTAACGTAAGAGAGGAGAGTGTGCTGGATTATTTACGTACCTCAGGCCGTGCGAACATCAGAGAGGATACTATAATTTGAGCGAAGCGCCAAAGCGGCGCTTGTTGCACACTTTTCTGGACTTCTACGTCCAACACCTAGATACAGAAAACTACGGACCGGAATACTTTGACATACTGGGCTTCCACATCCAGTACCTAGATACAAGAAACTACGGAGCGGAATACCTGAACACCCTGGACTTTCACATGCGACACTTAGATACAGAAAACTTAATAATTCTATACTGTTGTGAAAGCACCCTTATACTAACTGGAAATTCGGTATGAACGGTAGCTTCACGTATAAAGTGTATTTGATTGTGTTGTGTATTTGTAAATTACTAACAGCATACAGAGTACAAATAGGTAAGGAAGGCAAAGTAGTCAGCGCCGTCTGTCGTGTAAGAAAGTCGATGGACGTACGAAGACGACGACGACGATGACGACGACGACGACCCTGAAATAAAATCATCTCACTCGCCATGTGAATACGTCCTGATCCTGTACACTAATCGTATTGAATTTGGTGGCAATCATATCAGAACCCTTGATTCCTAGAGTGAATGTATCAATAAATTTTTCTCACATACAGCCGTTCATAAGATATTTGAGTCGAAACACAGGTACAAGAGATGCTTCGAGTAAAGAGTCTCGGCGGGCCGTACCCCGTACGGCGGGTTGCCTGTACTTGGCGCGAGACTCGACTGATTGTGAGTCTCTTGATATGAGCTGCTCCATCAGACTTCAGCCACCTGTATTTTATTTGCTGTGCTACATGGATTCGATCTTTTTTATTTTGAACACAGATATCCCGGAGACGGTGCGTCGTATCAAAAAATTATAAAAAATGAAAGTTTTATGTTTTTTAGTATCTACAATAAACAACTTTTTAAACATTTTTTGAGTAATCTAAACCTGTTTTCAAAAAAAAGAAATACACAAAATGTTTTTCCTGACCAAAGCCCCATCGATGTCGGTGTTACGGAATTTTTTTAATATTCTGTAAACAGAATATCAATTTTGTGCAAAATTACAAACTGGTACATCCAGCTATTTTTCACTCACACATTTCTTTTAATTTATAAGAACACTAATTTTTGTTAGAAATCTTCAACAAAAATAAATAAATAAGTTCTAATAAATTAAAAAAAAAAGTAATGCGGACTATAAGTTTATAACCCTAAAGACAATATCAACCCTGAAAAATACAGAGATAATTTAATCAGAAAAACAAAAAGTAGTGTTCTTATAAATTAAAAAGAATGATCGTTATGAAACTCTACTAAACCTAATTCTTTGATTGCATTCACTAATCATATAAAAGATTATTCAAAAGTATTGTACCAATTGAAATTAAATAGTTCATTTGATTAGGTGTAGTTCCGAAAAACGCATACCTCCGAAAAGTATGGTTTTTTGTATTCTGACGTATTTTGAAGTACTGACGACGAACATAATAGTGAAAATACCCGCAAAATTAATTTTAAAAAATGGCCATTTTTCAAGAAAAAAAATTCTTTTTCGATATTTTTCAATAAATATTGATTTGGGAGAAAAATGTTTTAAGTAAAAACAGTAGCTTGTTAAAGATTACATCTTTTATGTCCTATGCATTTGTATTATAAAACTATAATATTATTTTTCGAGAAAAATGAGATAATGTTCAGAGCAACAAACATTCGTAGAAAAGAATTCTAATAAAGATTAATGATGATTGATAGATTTTGTTACTATTATTCCATTAGTTTCAGTACATAATTACCTAATTACGCACTTTACCGCGGGAAGCTTGAAATTTGGATTTTAAAGTGCATTTTTATTCCTTTTCATATTTTTTTCTGTTTGTATTTTTATTGTTTTTATTGTATTTTTTTTTATTTTAGATATTTCTTACTTCTTGTATTTTTGAATTAACAAATATATTTTCTTATCATTTATATATTTTTTCTTGTCACTAATGTCTTTTTTTCTAATTTTCGTGTCATTTTTATAGGTATCCTGTAACTTAAACTAAAAACTGAGTTACGCTTTTCGGGATAACAAATTTTTATGTCGCGATGAGTTGCGCAAATAAATCAGCATTAGTTTCTTCACACGGCGCCGCCATACAAATTCGCAAAGATGGTCTGTTAAGTGGTGTTTTTGAATCCCTCCACTGGATAGAGAGAGATAAATATTTTTTTAGAAAGAATTTTTACGCAAGGTGGATTCTATCTTTAATCGCAAAGCGAGCTTGCGAACGAAGCCCGCATTCATTAGGTTCTTTAGGTTCTTTAGGTTCTTTAGATAGGTTAGAGTAATATAAGTTTGGGAGTTCTGGATATAGGTTCCTGCACCGACATAATACCGACACTCCAGAGCCTTCGAAGGTGGGTG